AGACTCTTTAGTGCTGAAAATAAATTAAATATCCAGTAACAAGAAATAGGTCAAATGAACTACAGCAGATACATTCAGTAGAATATCTTGAGTAATGTTGAGGGAGAAATATAATGACACTGAAATATGCTCACTATAAGTGGGAAAGTAGAATACTTTTTCTTTTTAGTATCTCAAAAACGTTAATGATAAAAATCTCAAAGTGGTAGGATGATGGGTAATATTTTTCACCATTCCTGCTATCTTTTGCTTGGTAATTTTTCTACATTATCTATGCATAACATTTGTAATGATGTTTTTACAAAGGAGTAAGAACCATTCCTGCAGCTGTTGCTCCACAACGAAGGTCCCAGTACAGCCAGGGCCTCCAGGGGTGCCATCTCTTGACCTTTCCCCCCTCTTTCTGTTGTCACTTTAGAGTTTTGCAAACCACAGAGAAATGGCTGGTGCTGTTTCTCAGGGGACATGCACCTACATGGCCATGCTGGGCATTAGAAGACTGAAAGCCACGATCTGACCTAACTCACCTGTTATCCTCTCTGCAGGTCCCCTCCCCCTTGCTGTTGTCCTCTCTGTAGTAGACAGACTAGTTGTGGAATGAGGCCTGCAGGGTTGGGGAGGAACATCCCACATCTTCCTCGGGGTGCCAAAGTATCTTCAATACTCAGGTTGCCCCCCTTCTCTTTAGCTCAGAATTGAGCACCAAAGCTGAGAAGGTCGTACCTGCTTTCCTCGCTGACCTGCTTGCCCCACTGGTCCTTGAGCTCCAGAAAATCCGTGTTCTCCCTGGTAAATGAGACAGGAAGTGATTCAGATCAGGAAAATCAAACCTGGCTTCTACATTAAAAAGCTCTTTCTACTAGACTTGTAGACGCAAGGTTCTCGGCAAGGGTTCAGTACTCTGCAGGAGACGGCATATGGGAGGAAACACTTGATGATCTTAAAGGAGGGAAAAATCATGAGCAGCACAAGACTGGACTCAGGCTTTCCCTTGTTACGAGGACTGCAGAAGGCAAGGAGTGGAAAATTTACTCCAGGAAAAGTTGACTCATTTGCCTGTCCACCTATTATTCATTGTCCTGGATAATAACTGTTGAACCTGACAGGTGTGGTCTTGCCTTCCTCAAGCAAGTCTGGTTGGAAAGAGTCAGGTGGGCAATAGTGTGTGATAAGGTTCATGGGACTATGGAAGCAGAGAGAAGGGACTCTAAATTAGATTTGGTGTGGCTGAAGAGGGTGACTACCTGAAGGAGAAGAGCAGGGATAAGCCATGTGCACTGGGAGAAGGATGAAGGGAGGAGTGAAAAGGGCCCAGCTGAGGGAAGGCGTTGGAGGGGAGCCTCGGGCACGCAGGAGGATATGAGCAATGAAGCCTGAGATTTAAACAGGGTCAGGCTATATGTCCAAATCGTGATAAGTACATGCCAGGCTTAAAAAAAAAAAAGAACAACTAAACAGGATCAAATAGCACAGGGTCTTCTAAGCTACTTTAAAGTTTGGAAATTTTGGTGAGGACCACAGAGAAGTTCAGATAAACCACAGAAGCTCCGAGATCCAATGTGAAATGTAAGCTTGAGCCTTCAAACAGGCACGTGGCCTCTCAGATAGGGCATCCGGTGCCCCTTCAGGTCCCAGGTGAAGTGGGCCAGGGGCAGGGAGCTGCGGAGGCTGTAGGCAGGGGAGTGAGGCTCTGAAGAGGCCAACAGCTGCCCTCTGGCCACCTCAGAGGGGAGGGCTGTGCTCGACAGGACCCAGGCACCGCCGGATCTGCGCTCACACCCCTTCCAGCCCCGTCCCTGCCTTCCAGCCAACTCCATCACCAAGTGCATGTCAACATTCAGGCTGCAGGGAGCTGACATTTTTAGAGTTGTGTCCTGTGATGGATGAGATTGCTCTGTCTGTCCTAGTGAAACGGTGTAGTTTTGCAGAGGAAAGCAGACATTCTTTGCTCAGTGGAAGGAAAAGAATGTTACCAGAAAGCTGGAGGTGGGGTAGGGCAGGTGCCTAACAGTGCCTGGACTGCATCATGTGAGATTTAATTAACAAGAACATCAAGGCAAGAAAGGAGGCACTTTCGTCTCAGCGTCTGGGCCCTGTATGAAACAACACTCACTTTTCTCCCTGGAGGCCCAGGTCTTCCATCGTTCCCTTTGGCTCCCAGGTACCCAGGAGAACCCTGAAAGGCGAGAGAGACAAATGCTGGCACAGCAGCCATTCTTACAGAACCCAGTAGATTGGTTTTGCTTTTCTTCACAGTCACTTCTAACTGCTCCTTGATGGCGCCCTGTGCAGAGGGACAGCTAGGCCCAGAGCGGATGAGTCCCGGGCAGAGGGCCACAGGGGCTCAGTGAGCGAGCAAAGCTGCCCTTGATCAAAGCAGCTTCTGAACATGGTGAATGCAGGGATGATTGGCGCTGTGGTGCGCTCAGCCGGTCAGGCCAGGACATTAGCTGTCTTGCGGCTTCTGCACGCACACGTCCATGATGGGACACTGCGCACGGCAAGGCGTACAGTGCGTTTCAGTTTCCCAGTCAGAAAGTGGGCAAAACAGTTTTGATTTGCTAGGAAGAGAGCCGAGCAAGCCCAGGGAACCCTGGCCTTCTGAAGCCTACGTCTGAGCTGAAGACATGGAAGAGTTTCAGGGAGGATTTCGTGCAAATCCCTCCTCAGCTGGACTCTCACTGCTCTCTGTGAGACACTCAAGAGCCAAACAGACTCAGAGTGTGAATTCAGAGCTCAACCTGGGATTCACATTTGAGGAGTGAGGGATCTTGGTGGGATTGTTTTCACATATCTATGGTCAATGAAGATGTATAAGGCACTTTTTAAGTTATTCTGAAACCAGAATAACGTTTCAAGCTTTGAAATGTTCACTTGTGTCCTCCCAAATGCTTTCTTCAGGCTGAGGAGAGGTGTCCCTGCTTTAATGGTAAAACACGGTGCGTGAGAAAGAGAAGCATGTAAGGTGCGTGCAAGAAATCAGAGCTGGGCTAAAAGTTTGTGTCCAGTTAACCTAAGAACGAAGACTACTTTGCAAATGATATAAAATGAACATGGAAATGTTTTGAGGTAACAGGAAAATAAAAGTTCACAGATGTTTCTGGGTCGCTCACCTGAGGTCCTTTAGGCCCGAGACTTCCTTTCTCCCCTTTCCTGCCAGGGAGGCCCCATGACCCCTTTTATGGAAACAAAAGAAAAACAGTGGGGATAATGAAAACCGTCTTTCTTCATTAATGCTGGGGAGCACTCCATGGAAATGCAGTGACCTCACCCAATCCTTCACGCATTTCTCAGCTCTGAGATTAAGCATGTTTTAGAAGAGCAATTATGGGGACAGCATCTAGATCTGATTCAGGAATTCTGCCTGGGGTGAGCCCCTCATGCCTCTCTGACAGGGAGAAATGGAGACATAAGCACAGCAGGAAGCAGGAAACATCGGCAGCCGGTCAGATGCATTCTTTGATGAGGCAGGCTCCCTGGGTCAAGGTGCTTATCAACACACAGAACAGAGAACAACTGTCTCACAACAGCACAGGAGGACATTTTGGCGGCAAGTCCCGAAGCAAGGAGCCGGAGCAGAAGGAAAGCCGGAGGCGCTGTGGTGCTTCTCGCTTCCAAAGCACCCACTGAGCAGCGGCCTGGCCGCCCGGCACAGATGGCACCACGGGCCAGCCTTGGCTCGGCCGGAGTTCAAGGGATGCTGAGCAGCTGAGGTAACATCGCTGCTCCCACACCAAACCTGGCCATGGAGCTAGGCTGGCCCCATGGTTACTCAATCGAGGGGACCTTCTCGCTGGTGGCTAAGTCCAGGGACCCCAAACTCTCAGGGAATCCTGAATTCAACCTAATATGAATGATCCTGGGTCCATAAAGTGACTCGATACCCATGTGTCACAAGGCCATTCTCTAGGGCTGGCCCTGGGTCCTCCTGACAAGAGGCAGAGACAGCCACCCTGCCACATCACTAGTGAAAGGGCCACAGCCAGTGGCAAACGGCTCCCACCAGTGCTGCAGAAGCACTTGCATGCCTGCGGAGTTAGCGGAGGGGGACTGAGTCACAGCTTCTACTTCCTGACACCCTCCACAGGAGCGCGTGTGGGACCGCAAGCAAAGTCGGCGCTCTGCTCCTGCCCCTGGGGGCTGGTGTAGAAGGGAGGTCTTGACAAGCCCCTGGTACTGACGCGCACACACAGCGCCAGTGAGCACACGAGCCCGCCTCTCCTGAACGAGCAATGTGGGCGCAGATTTGACGGACACCAACAGCCCACCCAAGGCGAGAAAGCAGAATTCCAGAGCCGGACCGGCAGGGAGGGCTGGTGTCAAGAAAGAATTTCTGTTATTCATTCAAGCAGAACGATCCGCACTTTCCCAGCAGAATTACTTCTCAACATTCATGAAATCTTCCAACACACCTGTGGGCCTTGTAAGCCTTCGGGTCCCATTTCACCTTTGGGTCCGGGAGGTCCTGGTTCCCCCTGATGGACAAATTTTCGGAATTAAGATCTTTCTGCACTTTCTAGACTTTCTAGACTTTCTCTCTAGCATCTAGCATCTATCTAGAACAAGAGTTCACAGCTGCTATTTTCTGGGTTCAACTCCTAGTTTGCCTAGGATGTTACTCGTCTACACAGCCGAGGAAATGAACACATGATCATTCGTCATCATAAAGAGGAATTTGCTCTCTTGTCGTCAACTTGCAACGCTCACGGAGAGCAGCAAATCCAGTCTGGGTCTGCGCAGGCCACTCCCAGTGCCCAGGGCTGCCCACAGCATCCCTGCTGGCTGCCCGCCCACGCCCAGTGCTGCTTTCCAGAAGCCCTCTCCTCCCCGCCCAGGCAGGAGAGCAGGGAAAGGACACTTACTGAAGGCCCCCGGGCTCCCCTTGGACCTTCTCTTCCCTAGGACAGAAACAGTAAAGTGTGAGCGCTGGTGTCCGCAAGGACGGCAGTTCGGGGCCAAGCCGCCGCTCACTCCCCAACAGACACAGTGATGAGCAGGTCACAGACATGACTTCCCTGAGGCACTTTCCAAAGACAAGTTTTCACACTGGGTACTTAATTACGGACTAACATTTGGGGGATTGATTGCAAACCACTCTAAACATCACTGCAGACCCAGCTCCAGTCTGAAAGCCTCTGACATTTATCCAGGAGGCTGTTTGGAGAATCCAATCACCCTGAAGGGCCTGGCTTCTACCTTGTCCTCTCCAGCAAATCCCAGAGTTGCTGTCTGATAATCAGTGGCTTTCCGCATGAGAACCTGCTGTGTCACATCTGGCTGCCTCTGTCTTGGGCCCCAGTTAGATCCTAGGAAGGTGCTAAAAGTCGTTCAATACAGTCCTGCCTTCGGGCCTGCCCACTGGGACTCTACACGGAGGAAACTGACAGAGGGCTCTGCTTAACCCTGTGGGGGTCCCAGCGATACCACCCGGTTCCTCTGAGCACAGCCTGCCTGCCATTGAAGCCGAACTCTGTGCCTAGTGTGCCAGACTTCCCGTTACTGGCTCAGGCTCTCCCCCTGGTGGCCGTGTGTGTCACACCGCCCCCTTCCAGGAGGAAGATGATTCAGACCCCAGAGCTTAACTTCCTTCTCCTGAACAGTAACAATATAATCTGCTCACGCTTCCCTAACCAGCGACTCCCACCCAGTCTCCTTGAGATAGATGTGGAACATCACAACCACCAATGTACTTTGTGCTGTGATAAACAACTAATGTTGTGAGCACTTTAGGTACAAAACAAATACTAAAAATTGTATTCGTAATTCAGAAAGGCAGTCATGGGAATTACTTCAGAACTGCTACTTCCTCCCAGCTATTCCCTTTCTGAACTTCCTTAAAATGCACTACCTGACCAGATATCACCTCCACCAGGTGGGCAAATCATTTAGAATTCCTCCAAGGAGGTTCTGTCCCTTGATGCGATGATCTCTGCCTTTAAAATGCACATAGGGGAAGTTACCCACGGTGACCTGTCAGCTGTTTGTATCTTCAGGAAGAGCTCTCCCGGTAAGAAAGAGTGGTGAAAAGGTGAAGGTCGCTTAACCACAATGTCATCATTTTCTCTCCATTCAAAAGAAATAGATCATGGCTGTTAGTTTGACTTGATTATGTTCATTCTTTCTCAGGAAACACAAATATGGAATCAGTAGCCTGTACAGCTGGAACTGATTTACAGGTCAATTACACTTCAATTTTTAAAAAAAGAAGATTAAAGAATGTTTATTCTGTGCACAGAAGTGGAGCACAATGGCTGAGGTCACGTCCTCAGAACAGTTTTGCACCCAGCCCTACCCTGACAGCCTGCATGGCACAAAACAGCTGCGTGGCAGACCCAGCCCTGGCTCTGGACAGAGCCACTACAGGGACAGATCCCAGCTCCACCACTTACTCCCTATCCTGATCCTGGGCAAGATGCCCAGGCTCCTTGATGTTCCTCATCTGTAAAATGGGTAGAACGGCAGTATCTATCTCATAGTTCATTATGAAGATTCAATTAATATTTGAGAGTGATTTGTCACAAAACAGAAGCTAAACGAGCATAAATGCAATTACTGTACGTTCTCTTCATGTGTGACAAGCCTAATACAAACAAAGCCCAGAACAATGTCTCAAGGGCCCAGGACACTGATCAAATATTTGGGCAACAGCTGGTGCAATAATTCATTTTCCTGAGTTGAAGATGAATCACAACAGGACAAAGACTCAGGCTGGTCTGAGTGCAGAGCTGTCTTCCATTTAAGGTCCTCTGACCCTCAAAGAGAATGTTGGCCTTTACTGAAAGGTAGGGGAGGGGTACAGAGCTTGCTGTTGTTTTGTGTCCAGGTGACTTTATTTAATTCAGGAGGGAAAAGGTTACAAAGGATATGACAGGGCAGGGACTTGGATGCAGATGGGGGAGAAAACCCTCCTTGCCGCTCCATGGCAGCAACAGAGTAACTGGCTGTTTCTCTTTTCAAGAAGTGTCTGATTGATGGTGATAACTGGAAAGCTATTTGGAACTGAAAGTAGGTTCACTTACACTAATTGTCTTTAAAATTTACAGCATTTAGCTCGTCTTACTACTCTCCGGCTTCCTCTGATTAATGCTGATTCTCTTGTGTGCAGAACAAAGTCCCAAAGAATTCTACCAGAAACACTAGGAAACCTCAATCAACTAACTGTAGATGACTACGACTCTAGATGAACAAAGGCCGCAGGAATTAAGACACATTTCTCCACTATCTTGCCCAGAAAGAAAGGCAATCTGTCACTCTGCAAAGTGATGAGGAGATTCCAAGTTAATAATTGAAGAGAAAGCCAAGGATCTGGACAAAACTCAGGGTCAAATCTAGAATGTCATACCTTTATAGAACGACTTCCTTAAAAAGAGCATATGATTGGCCCTCCCTGGTGGCGTAGTGGGTTAAAGCACAGCACTGAGAAGCTGAAGCCACTTCTGCATGAGTTAGATCCCCGCCTGTCCAGGAGGTGACACACATGGCGGGGCAGACCTCTCCTGACCCGCCCGCTGCTCCCCTCAGCAGTGGACTTTGTCTATCTGCCTGTTCTGCTACCTGCTCTGTCTCTGGTGAATCCTCTCACCGCCCCTGCACCTCTGGCCTGTACCCCAGCTCTGTATGCAAATAAATAAATCTTAAAAAAAAAAAAGAGCATACGATAAAGGGGTTTCTAACACAAAAATTCCATCTCTAACTTCAGAAGAAAGAAGAGAGATTCTTGGTCCTAAAAAAGAGGGAATCCAGGTGCTATCCAAAAGACTTGATAGCACATAGCATGCTATTAAGTTCTAGAAGTTGCCGTTGGCTTGGTCCTCACCACATTTTGGTCCATTCAAGAATTCATCTATGGCTCTGTGACACTGGCAACATATGAGGAAAGGTGCTCTTTACGCAGTTTGAAATAATACGTAAGTTCAAAGGCGCCAGGTTACTGGGGGAGGGCTTTTATGTTCATGTCACGGACTCCCTCCAAAGGCTTCTAGAAGCTGGAAAGGGAAGCAGGTTGTGTCACAGTGGTTTTTGAGTCAGGGGTAATTGTGCCCCCCTACCAGCCTCTTAACATTTTGACGACAGCTACTCTTTCGGATGTCACTGTGGGGAGAAGGGGCACCTACTGACATTAGCGGGGGCTGCTAAGCAGCCCACCGAGGACAGCTTTTCATCGCCTGGTCCCGAGTGACACCAGTACCAACACACAGACACTGGGTCAGCCAACTCTACAGTCACCAAAGTTCTGAAATCTCTGTGGCACCTTCGGGTGATAAGGAAGGGTGGTAAATGTCCGCAGAAATACTTACTCTGCTTCCTCTGGAACTAGGGCTGCCGTTTGCCCCCTTTTGTCCGGTTCTACCCTGGAAATACAATAATCACCCCCCACACAAACACACAAGATTATAAAGGAAAATATTCTGAATAAATTACAAACACATCAGCAGCAAAATCCCAACCCGTTATTCGCGAAGGACGATGTGCCATGTTAGCATCTTTCTGAGGACTGACACGACTGGGTTTATAGCAACATGTGCTGCTCCCATCAATCTCCCCACATCATAACGTCACCCCCAGGAGCTTAACGACTTTGGCCAGCAAAGTGCAATCTCTAGTCTTGGCTTATTTTAAGGAAATGTGAACTCAACAGGTATTTTTCAATCACTAGGACACTACATAGTTTACCAATTAATTGACTTATACTTTATGAAAACCTCAAGTTAGTAACAGAATTCATCTACTCATGTATGGAGGATAGATCCAATTACTTGTCTTCCTTGTCCTCCTTTGAGTCCCCTTTGTCCTTTGATGTTACTGTTTCTTCCTGGAGTCCCCTAAAGGAAGATATAAACTTAGTGCAGAATCAAGAAATAGTATCTTTTTTTTTTTTTGCAAACTAGTACAATGTTCAAATACAAAGCTAACTTGGGTTAAGTAGTAAGGAGTGCGAGAAAGCTCTCTATTTGGAATTCATACATTTTTGAAAAAATATATAAGCAGTTTGGAGGGTGTTAGGTGATACACAAGAACTATCAGAGTGCTTGCTGAGACCCCTCCTGTCTCGCCCGCTGCTCCCCTCAGCAGTGTATTTCAGCAGCTCTGCCTGTTCTGCTCCCCCTCTGTTTCTGGTGAATCCTCTCATCCCCTGCACCTCCATCCTATACCCCAGTTCTTCTACACATGCGTATATATGTATGTATGTGTATGTGTGTGCACGCGTGTATATAACTTATTTTTTTTTAAAGATTTATTTATTTATTTGTGCATACAGAACTGGGGTACAGGCCAGAGGCTCAGGGGCGGTGAAAGGCTTCACCAGAGACAGAGTGGGGAGCAGAACAGGCAGATCTACGAAGTACACTGCTGAGGGGAGCAGCGGGCGGGTCAGGAGAGGTCTGGCTCGCCATGTGGTCTCCTCCGGGGCAGGCTGCAGGCGGGAATCGAACTCATGCGGAAGTGGCTTCAGATTCTCAGTGCTGTGCTTTAACCCGCTGCGCCACCAGGGAGGGCCATATATATATATATAACTTATTTTTTAAAGAGTGCTTGCTGAAACTGGTAGTTTTCCCCTTTTCTGTAATGGCAGCTTCACGGACGCACTAGTCCAAGCAAGCTATGCCACTCCCTTAGAGGTATGGTAAGATTCCCTGGAGTGGAGTGTGCAAATAGGAAACCTCAAGATTAGAAGCCCAGTAAGTGAAAATCCAGGCATCCCTCCCACCCACAAAGGAACTTGAAAGTCTCAGCACAGCATGCGGATGAATAACATGGAATTTCATTTCCTAGTTCTGAATTTTTAATATCATCAGTTCAGGTCAATGGAGGTAGGTTTTTTCCCCCAAACAAATAAGCCTTAGTCAATACCTTCCACCCCGATAAGCATTTGCCTCCAGGCTAGCAGAAGACATGAGAAAGGAGTTAGATGTGAAGTAACTACGCAAATTAGAGCCCACTGGACCCCAGAAACTTACATGATCCCCTGAGAAGCCCGTCTCTCCATATTCCCCAGGGGAACCTCTGATACCCGGGCTGCCCTGAAAAAACAAAACAAGCTTCTGAGTTAGCTTGCTGGGAGGTTTTACATGACATTAAAATATCAAGTGTGTTGGAGAGAAGGAAATCAAGGAGACAAAATGATTCGCATTCCTCCTCCTCAGCTGAAAGGCTCCTCAGGCAGTACTAAGTCCAGGGTTAGCCTACCTGAGGGTTATCAGAAGCTGAGGAGTGCAGCACTCGCTCAGGGGCTTGCACAGTGCTGTGCAGTAGAATTTTCTGCCATGGTGGAAATGCTCTATCTCCAAGCTAGCCAATATGGTGGCCATGGGCCACATGTGGCCACCAAGAACATGAAATATAGCTAATACAAGTGAAGAGCAAAAATTTTCACTTTAATTTGAATTAAAATGCTAAACAAGGCAAGTGAGGGCTCTTGTGTGTCCCAATCAACCTAGAAATTTCTAACTCCTGTAATTCTATTGTACGCTGCAAACCTCCACAGGGGTATTCCGTTGTTAACTTCAAACTCAGCTCTTCCCAAGCATACCTGCCTAAGCCAGGACCCTTGCAGGCAGCTTGACTGACTTGCCTTCTGCTCCGCTGGTCACCGGATCAGAAGACCCTATGTCCCACAGCCAGGATAAGGACGAGACAAGCGAGTCTCACCCGTTGCAAAACTAGGGAGGTGCTTATGCTTACTCTTCGCATAACTGCAAGAGCCCATGCTTCCTTACGGTCTGCACCCTCAGTGTTCACTCAAGAGCAGGCCCTGCCATGGCCTGAACAGGTCTTGGTTCTGTCCTCACTGCTGTTGCTTTACTTCACGCTGAAGGCTCCATCACCTCCCACCCTGATGACTACAGCTCCACCTCTCATCTTTGCCTTGTATCTACATCTTCTCCAACATGTCCTTCACCCCACTGCCAAGCCGTACGTGCATAATGCAAATGTGGTTGGGATCCCTCTGCTTAAAATGTTTCAAAGGCTTTGCATGTACAATGGCTAAGAGCCAAATTCCCCTGCTTGCCTACGAGTGCTTTCCTTACCTCTTCCCACCACTTGTCAAATCTCACCTCACTCTCTACCTGTATGCCAATGCTCCTGCCAGAGAGAACAACTGGCAATGTCCCCAAGCCCACACGTCTCTGTGCTGTTACCTCTGCCTAGAATAACCTTCCTTTATTGTCTTGCCAATTCCTATTCAGCTCAGGGATTGCTTCTTCCAGGAAGACTTCCTGAACTTTCCCCATGCCCCCCGAGTTAGGAGCCCACAACATGGCCGCTCCCACAGAGCAACCGACTGATCGCTAATACCATAGCTGCCGGTACATGCCTCCCCAGCTACGCCGTGGGAGCTTCTAGGACAAGGACAGTGAAGTTTATCTCTGAATCCTTAGCACATGACAGTGCCTGGCACATGGCAGATGCTCAGAATAGTTGATAAATAAATGGATCAGAACATGAAAGGAGAATCGCCTGGACCCAAACAGGGACATATTCAGAAAACTAATTTAAAATACAATAATGTTTTGTGGTGCTTTGTTGTACCAAGGCCACTAAAATAATTTCATCTTTCCTTGCCTATTATTTTTTCTAATGCAAGAAGGTGAACACAGAAGCTGCTAACAGACATAAGCATTCATTTTCTGGAAACTGTTAAAAATTACAGTTACCCGCTTGCCCCAAACAGGAATGCAGACCTATTCGGTGGCAGGAGGCCCTCATTATGCCCTTAAGTCAGCTGTCTGTTTTATCCCCTAATCACCATGACACACGGCCATTCAGACCGTGTCTCTTCACCAAGTTGTTTCTTTCAAGTGTTAGTGTTACCTGAGATCCTGGTTCACCTTTTTCTCCCTTTTTTCCAGGAAATCCATGAACACCCTAACAGAAGAGATGGGGAAAAATTCCATTAAAAATATGTATCAGGCCCTCCCTGGTGGCGCAGCAGGTTAAAGCACTGCACTAAGAAGCTAAAGCCACTTCTGCATGAGTTCAATCCCCACTTGCCCTGGAGGAGATCCACATGGCGTGGCAGACCTCTCCTGACCCGCCCGCTGCTCCCCTCAGCAGTGTACTGTGTCGATCTGCCTGTTCTGCTCCCCACTCTGTTTCTGGTGAATCCTCTCACCCTCCGCATCTCTGGCCTGTACCCCAGTTCTGTATAAATAAATATATATATATATATATATATATATACATATATACATATATATATATATATATATATACACACACACACACACACATATATCAGTTTCAGGGGGCACTCCCTGGTGGTGCAACGGGTTAAGGTGCCACATTCTGAAACTCTCTGAAGCCACTGCAGCATGAGGTCAATCCCCCACCAGGGAGCTGACCCACATGGCCTGGCAGACCTATCCTGGCCCGCCCGCTGCTCCCCTCAGCAGCATATTTCAGTAGATCTGCCGGTTCTGCTCCCCATTCTGTCTCTGGTGAATCATCTCACCCACCACACCTCTGGCCAGTACCCCAGTTCTGTAAGCATAAATAAATAAACTTTTCAAAATATATATGTATCAGTTTCAAGATGACTGCAAAATACTTGAAGAGAGACGACTTACCTCTTCCCCAGTGAGCCCATCAATCCCATGCTCTCCTTGTTCTCCCTGAGAGAAAAGGGCAATCAGGTGAAAGGAGATCTCTGTCTCGCGCTCACTGGTGAGGCAGTAATCCCGTTAGGAAATCAAATTTGACCGAAAAGGAACTGCCCTACCTTATGTCCAGAAAGTCCTTGGGCTCCCTGTAAAAGACCAAATGTCTCTTACTTACACATCAGAGGCAGCAGGGGTCACAGGCTGGAGCAGGAAGGTGCCTCCCTACCGAGAGCGGATGTGCCCTTCTCCCATGGTTTCTGTCTACACAAGCACCAAGAGGTTGGCGCTGGAATGTAACTGATGCTCAAAACTCCCTGCGATTACTAGGAAGCAGAACTAATCAACAGATAAACGAACAGAGGTCACTAGAGGAGGGAGGGTGATGCGAGAGAAAGGAGGAACGAGGGGCGCCGTAGACTTTAAAGGAAACATTTTCAGCAGCACCTCACCTTTTGACCCCGTGCCCCTGGACATCCTTCAGTCCCCTTTTCTCCTGGGAATCCCCTTTCTCCTCTTGTTCCCTGAAAAAGGCATCCAGATTGGTATCCAAAGTGACACTTTGCCAGCAGCTGCCAGCAAGTTCAAGAGTGAAGGGAGGGCACGTGGGGACGGGGCTTCAGACAAGGCAACCCCTGCAGACGTGTTCGCTTTGGTCTGTGGGGGCCCCGCAAGCCTCCAGAGCTTCTTCACAGATCCAGGATCACCCCAGGCCACTTCATTGTCCTCCCCAGGAAGTGTGGCCACGACTTCAGAGGTCACCTCCCCTTCCAGTCACATTCTAAGCCCTCCAACAGGACACGTGGGCTCTACCCTCTCTGCAAGCCCAGGGCTGCCCTGCAGGGCCACACAGCAGGCTGCAGAGGAGCAGGAGGCCAGGAGCAGAGCAGGGAAGCTGGCGTGCAAGGGCTCTATCGTAGGAACGTGAAAGCAAGACGAACCCAAGGGTTTGCAGGAAGCGCCCCTCGCTCGGGTTAAAGATCCCCGAGTGGAGCCGTAATGACTTAGGGCAAGTACCCGAAGCTCATGCATGTGCATCTTCCATCAGTTCTTCTCCCCAGGAAATATTTAAGACCAGGCAAATGCCAGCAGGAAATGAAGCTCAAGAGACGGATGACTGACAGGCAGCCTGCCACCCCAAGGCAGGGCCCCCTCTCTCTCTCCGGCTGAGGCCCTTGTGCCTGGCTCAGATCTGGGTATGTGGCAGGTGTGAATGGCTTGGGTGAAAGCTGGTTTAGCAGTGACTTAATTCTTTCCCTCCTAGGTGATGGTGGTATTTCCTTTCGCTTTGCTTTCTTCATTCTGAGGCTCATTCCCACCTGCAGTGCCTCCCCTCTGGCCTGGAGGGCTCTAAGACAGCCCTGCAGGGTCAGGTGGGTGACTGAGAGAGCCCCCATGAGTGGTCCTTCTGCTTAGTAGATCTGGGGCAACTCTAGTGTCTTGGAGGAGTTTAGACGTTTTTACCAATGAGGAAACTGAGGGCCCATAAATAAGGTGTCTGTTAAGCCATGGTCCATGGCTGCCTCCAGAGCTGGGGTTTTCATCTCATCGCCGTTTAGGCAGGGAACTGGCGTGAGTGCAAGTGGGTGAATGCAAGCCGCATGCCTCCTAAACTTCCCCCACCCAAACCAGGGCCCCCCCTGGGGTTTCAGAGCCTCCAAATCCAGTCTCCCACGTTGACTGATGACCCAAGTGAGAGTTGTGGATTTAGGGTCAAAGACAGATTGGAAAACCTTCACGTAGCACAGGACCAAGAGGCTGCGCCTCAGAGACGCTCTGCCCTCCTGGCCATGTACTGTGCACTGGCCAGTACTCCCCGTCACTGACAGAAAATGTGCCAGGCAACATGGAAGAGCCTGCTCCCGCCTTCCTCTCTGCTCAGAAGTGCAGGAAAAGAAAAGCACCCATTTCTCTCCCCCCACACCCCCCAAAATAAGCAGAAGCAGAATCCCATCTACTCTTCTTTGTTTTCTGGAAGAAAACTTTCCAAGAAAAAGAAAGTCTGTAAGTGTGTGTGGGGGGGGGGAGGGGAGAAGGGGTTGTCAGAAAAACTTACAGGGTCTCCAACCTCTCCCCTGTGTCCTCTGCCGCCCTTTAAACCTGGAGCGCCCTGAGGGCAAAAGAGAAACATGCATTTTAGGCATCTTCCATCAATTCAAACTTGTTATATCACTAGGCATTCAAGGCAACTTCCTCCAGCAGCGTCAGAGCGTTTGTGGACATGGCTGTGAGTGAGCAGATTGACTCCTGTCCTTGCAGAAGATGGCCCCAACGGCCACAGGAGGCTGACCTGCGACCCACGCAGCCCAGGGCTCAGGGCCACCCTGTACCTGCCTGGGGCATTTGCATGGAGGACAGCTGGGTCACTGAACTCTTGGCAGGCAAACCGGAAACATTTCCAGAGAGATCATTTTATTTTCCTCTGCTTTCCTGAGAGCTCTAGGAATAAGTATTTCTCCCAACAAGGTACGTGTCGCTCAACTGCAATCTCTCTGCACGTGGGGTTCAGCTGCGTCATGCTTATTTGTGGCAAATACTACATTTGAGGTTTGTGTTCTTCCCCCGCTGCGCAGGTACTGTCTGCTTAGTAGATCTGGGGCTGTATTCTTGGAATAAAATTCAAACGCTAACTTGAGGAGAGTAATGGGAGTGGAAACTGTGCTTAAGAAAACACTAAAACGGCAGCAAAAGGTCCAAGATCATGGACTGTCCCACAGGATGGAACCGTACGTAGCACATGAGCAAGAATTAGATAGGGTCTCCTGCTCACAGTTGCCCATTTAATTATGTTCTCTAAAGCCCATTTGAAAAAGTGCATAAAAGTCTATGAAACACAAAGGAGTTTCTAGACTCTGATAAAATGGTCACCTGTGCAGTCAGCACACAGACCAAGAGCCGAGACACCTCTGGAACACAGACGCAGCCCCCAGCCCAGTCACATGCTACCCGCCCAGCCCCAGAGCCCCACACACTCTGGCTGCCAGGGGCTCAGTCCCTACGCTTCCCAGCCTCACTACCCAACTGTTCTTCAGACACTTTGGGTCTTTCCTGTTTTCAAATTTTCTAGGCAAAATCGTATCCTCAGTAATTTCCTGTTTCCTCTCACTGACCATTACTGTGTTCGTAAAATTTATTCATCTTGTTATGTGCAGCTGCAGTTCACTCATTTTATCAGCTGCAAGTATTGCACTGAATGAAAATACCATGAGATACTGATCAATGCGATTACTGTGTCATTGATCATTTCGAATTCTTTAAAGGTCTATACCTCTGCAATGCTGTGGTCTTTTCACAGTTCAGTCGGGTTCCTGTGCTGTGCAGCATGACTTTCACCACTCTTTCTAAGGGTCCTGCCCCCCAGCACCATCACCTCTGAGGCGCAGTGACGGGGAAGGGCAGTCTCAACTGACAGGGAGCCTTCTGAACTGGCTCCTGCACTACGGGAGCAAGCCCCAAAGCAATCACACCAGCACAGAGGAAGGCAACAAACCCCCATGCTCGCTCCCACTCCTACCACTTGCAACAGTTTCCCAACAGAATGGCACCTTCACGTTTGAGGCGCCTGGAGCCCCAGGAGGCCCCGGAGGCCCTGTGCACTTGCAGAATGTACAGCAGCAAGTCCTTTCTGCGACATTTCCCTGGAAAAAAAGGGGACATGTGAGCTGTGGTTGTCAGGACTTCATGGCGAAGAACTACACTCACCCAGACGCCATCAACCTGCCACCCAGGAGGCCCTCCTCTCCCTTTGGATGCGGGCTGCAGAGGAGAGGGAGGTGCCTGGGAAGGAAGTGCCCTGCGGCATGCCCTCTCTGAGCAGATTTCTGCACAAATCCATCTGGACATGTGCATAAAAGCAAGTGAAAAGGAAACAGCCTCCCTGCTGGATAGGGCGCCCGCAGAGACAGGCCGTCTGCGTCAGGCTGGTGTCATTCTAGTGGTGGTCTCCCGTATTCTGAGATGCCTGCAAGTCAACTTTGGACTTTTGTCTCTCATTATTATTATTTTATTAGGGATTGGTCGGTTTCTTTAAGTTTCCTATGTATTCTTTTGGTATGACAACCAAAAAGTAAAAGGATTTGTGAAAATAAAATACAATGCTCTTGGATTTCAAACTTACACACGCTAAAAACGATGCCCTTAATTTAGTGGGGCAAACCCGGCAGTCTGGGGAATATTCACCATCCCCGTTTTGTTCCTGTCACAACTGAGATCACTGGATTCTGTTATTTGGCAACTCACCAGATACCGTGCAAGGAGGCCACCCAGCGCTCTCGTTCTAATCGTCAAGTGAGTTCTGTAATCAAATCCCTTTCCAAACTCGAAGCTGGAAAACTGACCATCAGCAGCTGAATCTAGGGATACCACCAGCAGACCATCAAGTCCTAGTTAGTGAAAATAACAGAAATAAAACCAAAGGTGATGAAGGTGAAAGGCAAGAAAGCCAGTCATCCCCCCCATGCAGGGAACATAATCCAAAGAGCCAGAGAACCCCAAGACCAAGCACACTCCCGAAGTCAGAAGGCCCCGAGGGCAGTGCACAGCATTCTCCTCACACAAACTCAGCCTTGGGGCCCAGCTTTCGCATGAGATCCCCTGAGAAAAAGGATTCTAGAGAAACGATTCACAAATCTTGCAGAAAAACACCAGCAGAAAACTGTGCAACACTTCACCAAC